ACATCTTCCTCCTTCAACTTCCCTCTTCACCCTCCATATTACCCTCCCTCCTCTCATTCTCCCTTTCTCTGACCGACCATCTTTTCCTCTTTAAGCTTTTCTCTCTATGCCCCCTTCCCCTCCCTTTCCCCATATCCCCCTGCCTTGCACTTTTCCCCTCGTATGTTCCTTCATGGACTTCCCTTGTCAGTTATCAGCCAATTTCACTCCAAAATGAATTGAAAGTTTCTAGTCACATGGATCATGAACCCAGACTAAAGATACTCATCTTATATGAAATGAATAAAAATAACAATAATAATGATGGTGATGATAATAATGTTAATAGTAATACTACTACTAATAATAGATATACATATATAATAACTGTAACAATAACGATAAGGAAACCCATAAACGTCTAGACTTGAGAGAAACGCTAAGTTGGTTTGGCCATGACCTGGATCCGTTTCGAGAAGTCTTCGGATCAGGTCCCCCACTCTTGGATTTTAAAAGTGCCTTGTTATCTTCAAATAACCAAATCATTTCTTAAGAACAGTGTGAAGAATTGGGAAACAATGTCAACAGCTGCAGGAGAAATTCTTGGAAACGAGTTTTCCAAGGAGACATTCTACCCCCTCTCCTGTTTGATATCAGCTTGATTCCTTATGGTATACAAAGCAGGATATGAACTTAAATTTGGTCATAAAACCGCCTTTTTTGCATGGTTGTCTAAAAATGAACCTTCAGATAATCCTATACTGTATTAATGAACAGATTGCAGACCCTTGCTACAGATTTCAAAAAGTTTTGAAGATTGATATTGTGGTATACCTGAGAATATAAACACCACATCATGTAGCAAGTGTGGTGTGTGATTAGTAAGTACCAGAGGCAAACGCCTCCCTTTCTGTCTTTTCTAGAATTACAAGCCGTCGTGTTCCACTGTGACTGACCGGAAGATGTTCAAATTAGTCTTGGACGGAAATAAATAGAAAATAATTCGAAAGTTTTGCGGTGAATGGCAAACAAAAAGCACTATAACGACTTATTCTTCGGAAAAAGTCATTGCATCTATACAAATTTCCATGTTTATATTCTCCTTTTGGATTGTCCTAAGGCTGTCTTGACGTTGCCTCTGAAGATAAGACAGAAATCAAAATCTACCCTTTTAGTGGCTTTTTTCCTTCTAAACAGGGTTGCATCAGAGTGCACTCGATTGCTAACAGTGCTTGTCCCTTCAGCACAAGGGCTTCCGAGCTGTAGTGCTGCATTTGATAGTCAAAAACAGGCCTTTAGTGGTTAACCACAACAGGAGTCAGAATCAGGCTTTTTACATTTACTCTGTAGGATCATTTCAGTAACAAATACTACAAGAGGTGAGCTTAATCTTTCTGATTGGTCATTTCCATATGAAAATAAGTTCATATATCCACGATTCCCAATCTTGTTGACGCATACCTTCAAGTACTGAACGTGACCCCCCCCCCTCACTAATAATACAAATCAAGTGAGTCCGTAAAAGTGGTTCAGCATACCCTGAAGAGCAGAAGTGACCACATGCGTTACGCGACTGAGGTTACCATAGCTACTGGCCGGTTCCAAGTTATATTGTCATAGAAAAGGTTGAACTATAAAGTGCCAGTTTCAGGCCGGAGAAAAATTAAGTTGGGCTGTTTCAGTTATGAAAATATCCTAACGTAGGCCCGTGTGTTTAAATTTGTGTATGCACGAACTGCATGCTTGTCTGTAAATGTTCATGTGAATAATGTGAATGAAATAAAGTAAGAAAATCTTACCGCACTGCTAAACGCTTTCACGTTTTTGTTGAGGGAAATTGGCAAAGCGGCACCGAGTGATGTCCACTAAACCAAGGCCACGTGTCCTTTGACGCGCAAGACACCCCAAACAATATTTTTCAACCTAACGTTCTTTTTATGGTATCAAGCCCGAGAATGTCCACAAAGCAAAATATAAAATCAGACGAGAGAGAAAAGGAAAGTACAGCTTTTGCGACCTTTCCAGTCAATATTAGATTCCTTTCAGGCAGAAATGCCATAAATACCAGATGGTATGTTCCTTTGTGCTCCCGCCTTGTAAAGGGAATTAGTTTTACCCCAAACGTCGTAAAAATGGTGTTTCATTTCGTACCCGTTTCACCGTGTAACTCGGGTCCCTCCGAACCTACTATATTTCAGATCAATCTCCCACAAAAGTGCACCAGCTTTCTAAAAGTTGCTGCTGAACTTCAGAATATCTGATAAAGTGCTTCGCGATACACTAAACAGCTGATTTGCTCGGAGCAGGGCAACCCTTCTGTGAGGACGAGAAAAAAAATAAAACGAAGAAGAAAATTAAAGCATCTGTCGCTTTCTTAATTTCACCCTCCCCCTCCACTGCCCCAGCCCACGCCCAGCCCATGCCAGAGCCCCATGCCCAGCCCCATCCCACGCCCCCCCCAGCCCCAGCCCACGCCCCAGCCCCATGCCCCAGCCCCATGCCAGGCCCATGCCCAGCCTAA